TGGGCAGAGAGATTGCCTTGACTTCTTTTATGTTCTTCTTACTGCTACATTCCTGGTTTTCTTCCTATTAGAGGTTTCTTCTGGGCATTTTACTGGGTTTTCCTTTGCCTGTCTCTTACTTGTGGGGATTTTTAAATTTTTTTTTTAATATATCTTTATTGATTTCAGAGAGAGGAAAGGAGAGGGAGAGAGAGAGATAGAAACGTCAATGATGAGAGAGTCATTGATCGGCTGCAGCCCGCAACCCAGGCATGTGCCCTGACCGGGAATCGAACCCTGATCGTCTGGATCCTAGGTCGATGCTCAACCGCTGAGCCACGCCCGGCCGGGCGAGGATGATTCTTAAATATCCTTTCCCATAAGCTCAACTCCAAATTAGTAAGAGGAAGATTCTGAAATCTTCCAGCCCGAGTGGGCTACTGTACATGTTTACCTGGAGGTCCTCCAAGCCCCTCCAACTTGTCGTAACTCTTTATCGGCTCCTCCCGGCCTGCTCTACTACCTGTATCCTCAGTGTGTCACCATCTACCCAGCGTCCAGTCACCTGTCGTCTTCACCTAGGCTGTGCCTCAATGTTGCCCCCCCCGCCTTTATTCAGGTCCTTGCTTGGAATACAGACTGTTCCCTACTTAGGTCGACTCCCACCCCCCACCCCCTCACCAATCTGTTCACAGTGTTACCAGAGTTAACTGATCAGAATGCAAAACTGGGCATCTTCCACTTAAAAACCTCATGTATATTCTCCTTCCTGCCATACTGATTGTCTTGGGACCAGCCCGCGCTCCTGGGCTTGCAGGGCCCAGCCTGCTTGTCCTGTCTGCCTCCTAACTTGGTGCCTAGGCCGCCTCCTTTCTTGCCTCAGTGATCTCTTCGCCCCTCCCTGCACACCGAGGCTTTCCACAGCCCTGTGCCCTTGTTTATGCTCTTCCGCACGTCAGCGATGCTGTTCCCTTCACTCCTTTCCTTGCCCGCCAGGATGCGGCTCACGTGCATTACCTCGCTGACACCTGGGCGGCGAGCTCCTCCGTCGTCTGTGCTCTCAGAGGTGCTCCCGCAGACACCCTGCACTGCCTTGGCTTGGGTTGCATTTGATCCGTTTGCAGGTCTGTCCCAGGTCTGGCCTGGAGGGGCTCAAGGTTAGAGTCTATTGTCTACCTTTGTAGCTTAGTGTCTGGCTACTGGTGGGTGCCCAGTAAATGCTGGATGATTAGTGGCTGTGGGCCCATCAACCAGCCCTGCCTGCTGTCCCCCTGCGTAGGAGTCACCAGAGTAGAGTCTTGGATGCCATTTGCTTGTCCCTCAGGGTGACAGTGGGTTACGTTAAGAGAAAGAGGAGGGAGAAGGCGCTGCTCAGCATTCACACTGAATCGTGCAGCCCACCCCAGGGACCATATTGCTGTTTGGGACACGAATGTAAGAAATGGGTCTTTATTCAGCCTGTCTTAGCTCACCTTGTACCAGCACGGGCATTACCCTCCCATTTGTAGAAAATCCTGCACCTCAACAGTTTGCTTCCCCCTCCCCCTCCTCCTGTCCCCCTTCTCCCCATCCTCTCTGACTCCCCCTGCTCAACAACTGCCTTCCTCCCTGGGGGCTCTGGCAGCACCCCTGGAGGTGGGGGCTCCACGAGAGAGTGCTCAGCCCCCAGCTGCCAGGAGCACTTGGGCCGTCCATAAAAGTGTCTGGCTTGGAAATTCCAAACCTCAGGTTGAAATCGAGCTGGTCCGGGCTTGGCCCGCTTCTCCCCGGGTGTCAGAGGGTGGAGAGGTGGAGTGTCCCTGGCAGTGGCTCTACCAGGGAGAAAAAGGCAGCAACGAGAGTGGAGGAATGGAGCAGGAGCCCTCAGGGACAGAGAGACGCGAGGAGACAGCCTGGAGGCGCCCAGGTGGCACGCCCCTTTCTATCACTTGGGCTGGGTTCTTCTATCTCTGTGAGTTCCTAAGGGCTCCTGGTAAGTTTTCAAAAAAGGCAAGAGAACTAGAGATACACAGGAGAAATGGGTTCCAATATCGATCCCACTCGTCCCCCAGGCCACCTCCCTCCTCCTGGCGCATTCTCTCCATCTCCCACCAACATCCGGGACTGCCCGGTGCTTAGGCCTCCATTCCTGAGGTGGAAACCATCCCTGTCCATGGCATGAGAGGGCCGGACTTAGTGGATTAAAAGTCCGAAGGGAACTGGGGAGAGGATTTGGTTCCTGTGCCCCAGGCCTAGAGGCCTGTGTCTGGGGTGATGAGTGGAGACCCAGTTCCAGCCCCTCTGTCTCCCCAGTGGGGAGGCACGTGTGTTGCGGGGAGGTGTATATTTTTCTGAAGTGGCCAGAGCTGAGTACACACAGAGTTCAGGAGGTACATGTTTGGGGCTTTAGTGACCTCTAAGAAGTCTTTTGGAAGCCTTGAAGACTGTGTCCCCACCATGGGACTTTTCCTTTGGACAGTAGGGACAACCACTATCCCGTGTTTCCTCAGCTTCTGTACGGAGCCCCACATTGCGGCAGCCCCAGCACACGCCAGGCTTCTCCCCTCACTGCCTTGGGCTGTTTGCAAGTTTGGGGGAGGCTGGTGGTGTGTTTTTTTTCCTTTCTTCCAGGAGAGGAGGGCGATTAGGAGTAGAGAGGTGAGTTAAGGTCCTGATATCCCTCAGGGCCAGAAGCCCCTTCTGCGAAGTCGGGCTCTTCTCTGCTCTTCGGTGGAGTGTGGCAAAGCGGTGAGCCGCCGGACGGGGTGGAGAAGGCAGGGCTCAGACCCCAAGTTTCCCAGAGGAAGCTCTGACTCTCACCAGGGGCATATTCCATCCAGGTGCAGCTTCAGTTACCCCCACTCGGACCCCTCATCGACTTCTCACTGAAGTCCCAGGATACAGAGCCCACATCTCCCAGCAGAAGGTTCGCGTGTCATTTCTACCCACTGCTGCTTCCGGGGCTCCCAGCACTGCTGACCCCAGAGCAGGCCCAGCCATCTGAGTCTTTGGACAGGGCGCTAGTATACCGCAGGGGGAGCAGGGCATTCGGCAGATGCCCCTGCCCAGTGCCAAGCTCCTCGCGGGGCTCATCACGGTCTTCCTGTATTAAGACTGGTTACCTCTGGGTGGGGGATTTGGCGTTGTTAGGTACTTCTATGTTTTCTACAATTAGCAGAAATCACTCCTGTTATGGGGGGGGGGG